AGCCTGGTGGATTTCTATTATCAGGTTAACAAGTGTCTGACAGGAGTGTGACGGTAGGAAAGGTAACTCAGAAGGATTTCTGGTGCAGTAAGAGCAGACCAGAGACACGCGGTGCAGGGGCCCTGAAGCCTCCACTCAGGAAAATCAGTTAGAGTGAGGGTGAAGAGGCTCCTCTGATGCCTGCACACGGTGGGATGTAGAGCGTTTCTCACCTGGCAGAAGTCTTGCTTCAAGTAAAATTCTACTGCGTCTTCCCTTGAATAAGGTATCTGTAGGAAAAAAAAAATCCCCTTTTCCCCTTGATTTTCTTATTGTTGAGGTGAAGTTTGCACATCATAAAACAGACCATTTTCCAGGACACAGCTCAGTGGCATTCAGTAAATTCACAGTGTTGCAATCACCATCTCTATGGAGTCCTAAAGGATTTTCATCAGCCCCCAAGGGAATCTCCATTCCCTCCTGCCCCTTACCCCTGGCAGCCATCCTCTTCCAACGTCTCTGGATTTTCAGGCTGTTTTTGTCTAACTAGAATTGAAGCCTTAGTGTCTGTCTCTTCCCCCCACCTTTCTATTCCTCTGTGTATCGTAACATGCACATTTTTACCTCTTGTCTTACGTGACTGAATAAAGTCTCAATGCACAGATACTGCATTTTGTTGGCCTTCGTCCAGAAGGAGTATTCGGGTTGCTGTCACTTTTTGCACACTTCCAACAGTGTTTCTGTGAACTTACAAACAAGTGTTTGTCTGAACATGTTTTCAGTTCCTTTTCTTTTTTTGTTGTGAGAACACTGGGCCATAAAATGTACTCTATAAACACATTGTTAAATGCTCAGATCAACACTGGCATTCTTAACTACTGGTACCATTGTGTACTGCAAATCTATAAACCTTATTCATATTTCATAATTGAAACTTTTGCTCCTACACCTACAGTTTGAATTTCTAGGAAATTCCAGGGTTAATTTTAAAGGAAATAGCAAAGCTCTCAATAATGGCTTAACCCCCAGCAATGCATGAGGGTTCTCATTAACTTTCATGACTCACTGCTTCTGAAATATGAACACAGTAGTGATGTGAAGTGATTTCCCAATGTGATTTTATTTGCAGTTTCCTAATAACTGATGACTTAGTTTCTTTGTTTGGCTTATTTTCTATCTGTATATCTTCTTTCTGAAATGCCTGTTCAAATCCTTTGCCATTCTTTAGTTGAGGAGTTTATCTGTTTTGTTCTTGAGTTATCTATTTTTATAATATAGGTTCTATACTCTAATAAAAAGATTTGTGGACATTTTCCCCTACTCTAGCTTATCATTAAACTCCCTTGCTAGGTTCTTTTCATGCATATTCAGTTTAAATTGTGATGAAATAGTTTATCTACATTTCTTTTATTGCTTGCACGTTAGGGTTCTATTTCAATAAATTATCAATTCTGAGGTCATGAAGTTCCACACCTGTTTATTCCAAGAGTTTTGTAGGGGGCTGGGGATTTAGCTCAGCAGCATAAGCGCCTGCCTTGCAAGCAGGCAGTCGTGAGTTCATTTCCTGGTACCGATAAAAAAATTAAAAATAAAAAAATAAAAAACAAAAACAAACCAAGAGTTTTGTAGTTCCAGCTCTTATGCTAACCCACTGTGAGGTTTCACATATGGGACGTGCAAGTCCAGCTTCCCTCTCTGCAGGTGGGAGTTCCTTTGCTTTCTGAAAGTCATTTGTGGAGGTCCTCTTTCCCTTGAATACTCCTGATGCCCTGTTGAAAATCAGCTGATCATACAAAAATGTTTACTTCTTGTGCTTCAGTTGTGCCCTATGCCGCTGTATGTCTGTCTCCATATCACTTCCTCAGTGTTTTTTTTTTTTGTTTGTTTGTTTTTTTTTTTTTTCCCTGATTCTGGAGAAAATTTTGAAATCACAGAATATGATATTGGTAAACATGCTCATTTCTCAAGATTTTGTGACTACTCTGCTTTCCTTGTAATTACAATTGAATTTGAGGAATGGCCTTTCCCATTCTGCAAAAACGAAAAATGTCCTGGAGATTTTGGTGGGGATCACACTTATTCTTCAGAGTGCCATGGCCGCTAGCCTGTCCCCAGCACTACCTTCTCATCCATATGCCTGTGATGCTTTCTATGCTTAAAATTTCTGTGGTGGTGTTTAAACATGTCCCATGCATGGAATCATGCCTTCCTGTTTAAATTCCTTCCCATGCAGACTTGTTTTTGGAGTGGTTCTGAATTTAATTGTGTCCTTGGAAAAGGTATGTGCAAATCAACATCAGCTGCGAATGTGACTTTACTTATAAACAAGATCTTAACAGACAAACCCAAGTTAGAATCAGATCACATAGAATTAGGGTGGGCTCCAATCCAACATGTATGACGTCTTACTCAGCAGAGATGAAGCTAACAAGCACACCGAGTGATGACAGAGATACACAGAGAGATGCCAGTCATGTGAACACAGAAGCAGACGCTGGAGCTGGGTCCCATCAGCCATTGGGAGGGGGACAGGAGGTAAGAAAATGCTTTAGCTGGGTATGGTGTACACACCCCACTGAGAGGCTGAGGCAAGAGGATTGCCATCTCCAGGTCAGCATGGATGACTTAGTGACCTAGCAGGAACCTGTCTCAAAATAAAAAGTAGAAAGAGCTAGACATAGAACTCACACTGATGCCCTGGATTCAATCCCTAGTACTGATCTCCATAAAAGAAAAGAAAATCTATTTCCCTAGAGCATGTAGGACGAGTGTGTCTCTGCTGACACTTTGGTTGTGGGCTTTCAGTCTGCAGCATGAAAGATTTCTACTGTTTTCAGCTGCTCATTTCATGGTGATCTGTGCAAGTAACCATAGGGAGCTAACCCTGGTGGTGAAGTGCAGTGTTCGTGAGAGCAGATTGTGGTGCTGGGCAGCCTGGGCTCAGTCTGGATCCTCGGTCCTTCTGGGGCTCAGTTCCAATTCTTGGGAAGCCATCAGAAATTTCCAAAAGCTCGATTCAAATTCTTTGTGCAATCCATCTATAGTGGCATTTTGTCCTTGTCTGGTTGGACTTAGATGAGATCCATTAGGCTGCTGAATGTCACATTTGAGAGTAACAACACTGAGAAGTTCAGTGTTGACTCAAGGGGCCACAGCCGCTTCGCTGGAAATTTGTCATTAATGTAGGTTGTGGTTTTTGTTGCCTTAATTCACTTTTTCTCACTAAAATTTATAGAAAACAAAGATAAGCCTTAGAGTAGAAATGCAACATTCACCAGTGGTAAGGAGACTCCCGAGTCGCCATATGTTCCTCCAGAAGAACACTGCAGGAGCCCAGATTGCCTTTGGCTCCCACTTACACAAAATCCTCTTACACCATCTTACTGTAGCCACTGGCATGGACCGCTGGGGAGATTGTTCCTTCCCTTCATTCCAAGTATTATCTGAAGTTTGTGTTTCTCAATAATACATGACGCCTTCTCTTTCACTGTAGGCAGGTGGGTAACTCTAAGCCCATTGCTTCATGCTCTTCTTTTGGTAACAATCATCATGTTATAATGCTCATTTGGAATTTTTTCTGTCTACATGTTCACTGACACACGATACTCTGTGTTCTACATACAACACCATGTTTTCTTTTTCTTACTTTTTTACAGGTAATTTTTAAAGCACTGTTGGCTAATGTAAATAACCCTCTGGTCAATATTTGCATGAATATGGCTAGGTATTTGTGTGTATACACAATTTTTCATAGAGTTTAAAAAACAAAGATATGTAATTATCAACTACAGTATAAATTGGCAGAAAAGATTGACATTCCCATATGAAAAAAGTGTCAGAATTTTATGTACACACTGTTCTCTCCTGTGTGGGAATTTCAGATTAATAATCTCATTGAAACAATGCCATAACACTGCAGCAAAAATTATCATTACCTTTAGGATAAAGGAATATTCACATATGAATGTAGGTGACATCCGAGAATACCATAGCTGTTCTGTGTTCTTTGGCAAGTTAATTTCAATTGCTACTGCCCAGTGCTACGCCATCAATGCCACATTCCCACACTGAAATTGGCCAACAAGGAAAAATTTGCACCAGAGAAACTGGCAAATGGTACTAGTCAGCACTTTACCACTGGTTTTTCAGAACCAGGCACCCAATTGTGCTAACACTTCAACATCAGCATGGTGATACCAAGTGCCTTCAGTTGGGGAAAACTGTCCAGGTAACATTTGATGAAAATCAAGGGCTTGTGCATACAGAGAAGGAATTAGGCTCTAAAGTTAAAAAAAGAACTGATCTTCTCCACTTTTTTACTCTCTCTCAGGCCAACATCCTAATTTATGAAGTCAGGATGCATGCTCTGAACTGGAGATACAGACTCAGTGATGCACCTCAAGCTGTATGGCAACTAAGATCAAAGAAAAATCTGTTTGCAAGGTGTGTAGGAGTCAGAGGAAGGGAGAGAGGGAGGAAGGTAGGGAGGAGAGGGCGGGGTGCTACAGGGGTAAAAAGTGCCAAAGTTGATGGCACAGGAAAACCCCACAGCAACAGTGGTTCCTCCACCTCAGGGTGACTCGCCTGTAGTCCCAGGATGTGCATCTCAGGCGCTCACCAGAACATTCAGGGCTCTTCCTATTGGTTCCCAATGTTTCTTGTCCTCCATTCTGACACTTACTTCTGTGCTGCATCTTAGATCCTTTTCTGGAGAGCTTCGGATAGCAGTATCCTAAGGACCATAAAGATTAACTCACTCCAGGCACCTGGGTGGGATTCTGCACTGTGAAATCTGGGATTTGGGAACTGGGAATTATGGACAAAGGGGTCCTGGAGTTCCGGGATAGCCAAATGACCCAGGATCTCTGGGTGGCATCGAGGGCCTTGCTTTCCTCTGAGTCCAGTCCATGTTTCAGAATTCTCTGCCTTCACCAGTCTTGCCTTCAATTTCTTTGTCGAGGGTTCTGAAAACCACAGAGGATGGTGCTGGTGAGGAGAAGAAGGACACAAACCTTCTCACTGTTCTTCTCTTGTTGCAACCCCTTTTTGAGAGAACTGCCAGCTAGCTCTTTAGTGACTGGCTGTGTTGTGGCAGGTTCCCTCTGGCGCCTCTCTGGACTCTTCTGCCTACTTGTGTTCTGTGAATTCAAAATGTAAGCATGAGTTGTGTGGAAATGCAGTTTATATGAACCCCAAGTCTTCCAGATTAGTGGTAACACTGGCCTTCCACTCCAGAAATAATCAAGCAGCTCTCCGCTCCCTGTTCAAGCTGAGATGTAGGACCAGCTGAGCTGAGGTGAGACACAGAGGGTGTGGAGCCAGGACAGTACAAATCCTAGAGCCAGAGCCTGGCCCTTTGGAGCACTCATCATGCCACCGTGTGCCACAGGTGTTGGGCACGGAGCTATGGAATGTCACCATGTCCCTGCTGTGCTTATAGTCCCACTTTGGCCCAGGGTCTTGTTCCTTCCTTTGGGCACTGGAATTTACTCCGTGCCCTTGTATCTTGGAAGGATTTACCCTGTTCTGGCCTGCTGAGACTCACAGCTGAGATGGTCTTGAGGCTCAGAAGAAGCTGTGGACATAGAATTTTCAATCTTGCTAGAAAAAGGATTTGGGAGATGGACTGGATGTGCTTGGTGTTTTGAGATGGACATGAGCCCCTGCAGTGGGGTGGAGGGGAGGAGGGGACACTGTTTGGATCGTCAGTGTCCCCCCAGCATGCTGGGTGAGGCTTCTTCCCATCCCCAGCCTGTAGCACCACTGGCAAGTAGAAGCTCTTCTAGAGGGTAGAGTTTATGCAAAGGGAGCTAGGGGCCCTGGTGCTTGCTCCTGAAGGAGGTGGCAGTGCCCTGGCTGCTTCCTTTCTCCTTCCCTTCTTCCTGCTCACCGTAAGGTGAGCTACTGTATCCACTGTGTCCTCTGTGCCCTAGTGTTCAGCCTCAGCACAGATCCCAGAATGATCCAGCCAGCAGGCCGTGGAATGAAACCTCTGAAACTGAGCAAAAATGAATATTTCCTCCCAGTAAAGCATTTGTTCAGTCATCTTGGCATAACAGCAGAAGCCTGACTAAGACCCCAGAGCCTGAGACAGAATTTTCCATTTCCTGCAGTGAATGACTCCTGAGCCAAATGCTAAACAAATAAACTCCAGACAGGAAAGGATTATTTTTAAATGCACCTAGAGCACACCACAAGACACACACTTTAGTTTATGACTAGATTTCTAAAGCCACACATGATCGCAGGTGGGACTTTGGGTAGTCGGTTGGATTGCTGGGGCTCAGATGGGACTTGCTGGTAGAGGGCAGGTTACCACTGGTCAGAAGAAGCAGTCACTGGGGCCCTGACCAGAAATGCATCTCCCTGCCACAGTTCCTCCTTTGCTCTCTCTGCTTCTGGCCTCTATGATAAGAGCAGCTTTTCTTCCGCTAGGCCCCTCTGCCATGCCGTCCTCCTTAGGAGCCAGGTGACTATGGAGTGAAACTGTGATTCCTCATAAACCTCTGTGCCTTCAAATTCCAGGTTTTGGTATTGTATCACAGTGATGAGAAAGTACCTAAGACAGACACACATCCATTTCTGCAACATCTGTATCTCTCCATTCATCCACTGGTCTGTATCTATGGACACATCTGTAGTATGTTAGAGGCACGTGGCACAGCTGGTGTGAGGAACACATGACAGTGAGAAGGAGGTGCATCTGCTCTGAGCAGCCTCACAGTGCAGGTCACAAGTGGGGGGCAGTGAAATGCAAGCTGACATTCCAGAAAGAGAACAGAGGGGGCCCTCTGAAGACCCAGAAGGGTTCAAGGGGCTCCAGGAGAAGAAGAGCCACAGCAGATTCTGCCGGGGTGAGAAGTCCTCTCTCCTAGAAGGACAGGCGAAGGGGCATTGGAATCCAGGGCTTGCTGCCTTCCAGACAGCCAAGGTTATCCACAAACAAGCCCACCCACGGGAGATGTCCCCTAGCTCCTCCTTTTTTGTGGAGAGGGAAGGACCTAGAAACTGCCCTAAGGCTTTAAAGAAAAGGATTCATCTTTTCACTTTGATTTTAAATCTGAAGCTCCACCTTCCTGAGTGACGGCTTCAGAACTGGAGAGCTCCACCCTTCTGTTCAGTTTCCAGATGAACAGAGCAGTGATGAATATTCTTACCCTGTGAGAAGGGGCGATGGAATCCGTGGAGAGTTTGAATCCATACTGATGAGCCCAGCACTTCGAGCTGAGAACAGTAGAGCACAATCCATGCTCTCCTTGGGCAGAGGAACCTGTCTGTTTGTCCCTGTGGTCCATAAGGAAGGTTCACATTGTTGCAGAGGTGGATGTGGACCTGGATGCCTGAGAAGAGTTTTTACCAGGGAGCTGCCTGGGAAAGAAAGTGGAGAAGGGCTGCTGTCTCTTTGAGCACAGGGAGCCCCCGCTCCTCTGTCTCCCCTCCTCACCCCCTTTCCCTCTCCTTGAACCCCCACCTTTGATACCAGCCTTCACTCCCTGGGGCTCCCTGGGAGAGTGTGTGCAGTCTGGGTATCTGACTGAACCCCTGGCTCCGCCCCCATGATCAGGAGGTGCAGGAGGTCACAGCACTCTCGGGAGAGGCTGTGCCCACCATAGAATCTGTACCTACTTCCATGGGAGCTGCTCACAGTGTCAGAACCCCTCCTTGGGCAGGGTGCACTGGTCATAGCTGACCTCAGAGTGCCACCAGAGGGTCAGGCTTTCTCCAGGACAGTCACAGCCCTGCTGTGCCAGGAGGACAAGCTTCTCATGCATCCCCTGGAGGGAAGAGGACCTGGGGTCTGCAGGCCCTGGCTCCTCCCAAATGGCCCCTTCCTGAGTCCCAGCTGTGCTTGCCCTGACTGTCCCCTCAGTCACCGTGCTCTGGCCCAGAGATGCACAGCTCAGGAAGTGTTCTGTCTGTGCAGCTGGTGGTGGGGGAAGTGCTGGCCTTGCACCTGAGAGCAGGGGTGCTGGGTCCTGCAGACTGACCACGCCTGGGTCTGCTCTGCGAAGTCTACAACGCCTGCAGGCCTATCTGGGGCCGAGGCCCTGAGCCTGGGCATGAGCCCAGGCTATGGCTCTGGGTCCAAGCTGTGAGAGCTTAAGTCTTCCTCCCTTAGCCACCTTGAATGGCTGAAGTCTCTTTGTGAGCTGCCTTCTGAGGTCACCAGGGGGCTCAACAAAATAGGAAGAGTGGTTCATCACAAATGCCCTGAGAGAAGGCAGAAGTCATGCTAGATGGGGTTCAGCAACCCCACATTCACCCTTGGGGCTGCTGGGGCCACCAGGGTACACAGGGGTGCTGTTCACCAAGATGTCATAGACTCAGTCATCAAAACGTGTCCTCAATGTCAGTGCCAGTTCAGTGAGAGTCATGGTGGTTTATTCCAAATATTTATGCATTTGTAAAACATACAGGTCCCTGTGGACATGTGCCCAAGGCTTACACAGCTTTCTCTGAGATAAAAAGCAGCAGTAGATCCAGACTTACTCTATCAGATGAGGACAAAATTCAATAGCCAAACCTGATGAGGAAACTCCAAGATGACGTGCTGTCTCACGTGCATCTAGGTGGAAATCCCTAAGCAAAAAACGCAGTCACAGACAAGATTCATTCTTGTGTGAAAGTGAGCCCTGATCACTGTTTTTTTATTGTTGTTTGCAAAACAAAGATAGCTAAATTTTCATAAACTCAACCAGTATAATTCAACATATAAACAAATGAATGAAAAAGCGTCATCTCCATAGATACCAGCTTCCTACCTGAGCGTGTTCTTGTGTGTCTATCGGCCAATCATAAGTTTCCTCGCGGGAGATGTCCATGCGGGCCCGATGTTCATTTATTGAGCTGATTATTTTTGTTCTCTCTCCTGATTTGTTTGACTTACTGATATATTTTAAGGAGTAAACATTTCTTAGGTGTTTACAAATATTTTCTGCACTTTCTGGATTGTGGGACCACAGTGTTAGCTCTTTCTTTTGCTTTGTAGAAAATTCTAGTCTGGCCTAATGCCATTTGTCTACTGTATTTTTGTTTTTTTGCCAACACTTTTAAGTTCATAGCCTGTTGTTCTCAAACCAAAATCATGATGCTTCTTTCTGTGTTTTTCTCTTTTACTGTTTTAGGTCTTGTGTTTAACTCTTGAGTATATTTTGAGATGATTCTTTTTATATGGAGAAGGAAAAACAAACCAATTTAGTTGTTCTGCCTGTGAGTCTCCAGCTCTTCCAGCCTCATTTATGTAGAGGACTAGATTCTTTTTCCCATTGCATGCTCTTGGCAATTCGATGAAAATCAAATGATAAAAAAATCATGGATTTGCTTCTGGTGTCTGTCCTGTCCCATTGATGATGGAACTTTCATGCCATTTTCTGGTCATTTTGATTAAGACAACTTTGTAATAGATTCAACATTAGATATTTAGCTTGGTGATTTTTGTTCCAGACTGTTTCTGGCCACAGTTTCAAAGTGCAGACGGGGCAGTTTCAGTGTGTGGTGAGGAGCCACAGATAGATGATCATCGATTTGAACCCTCATCTCTCTTTTTTTTGTTGTTCACTGCACTGGGTAATCGAATGCTCATCTCTTAATACTGTTGTGTTGGGGAATGGATACTCACCCCAACAGTATTTTCCACTGGTTGTAGTTTCAGATTTGGTCTTGGTTTACCCAAATACATTAATACTCCAAAAAATCAGAAGTAAGATTAATGATCTAATAACTTATCACTGTCCTATGGCAAAAATGTACATCTATATTCATGTTGTTATGGTCTGCAAGTGACTTGAGTGTATCCCCAGGTGAGTGTGCTGGAACCCATTGCAGCACTAACAGGGGTGGGGCCTTCAGCAGCCTGGCACTGCCTCAGCAGTCTGGGGTCAGGACTGGACTCCCAACAATGTCACCTGTGTGTGTCTCAGCTTACTCACCTCCACGTGGAAGGGGCAAGGTGGCAGCCCCAGGTCGGTAATCTTCGTGAGGGTCAGGGATGTTGGAGGCAAAGCCCTGAGTACTTGGTGGAGTGGCAGTGTCTGCTCATTTGTGATGTCACAAGGGGCTCAGGCTTAGAAAGTTCCAAGCATCTGCTTAGGGGCTTAGCCAGCCTCAGTCCTGCTGCTCTGTCTCCTTGTCTTCCTCCTTACCTAATAGGAGCATCAAACTGTGCAGTAAGCGAAGGGAGTGGAAAATGAGGGTATCTTGTCCAAGGGGTTCAGTAGAGAACCAGCACAGAGCGAGACAAAAAAGCTGAGAAATGTTGATGGCGCTCCCAGAAAGTGGGGCGTTGTGGGGAGGAGTTCTGCGTGGAGCTAGAGGCTTTACCCGGCACCCATGGGAGCAGGGTTATGAGGAGGTGGGAGCCTCAGGAGGCACTGCTGTCAGCCTGAAGTCACAGGGCTGAGAAGTGGGGAGCAGGCACAGCGGTGGGCGGGGCAGGGTGATGGAACTGGGGGAGTAGCTGCTGTGAGCAAAGATGGTGTTCCATGTCTGGAGGCATTTCTCACTGTTGGGAGTGGACGGCCAGAAGCAGCTGAAGACTTCCACAGGAATCGGTGCCGAGACTCCACTTATTTTAAATAAAGCTACATTGCTGACGGGTACAGTCATACATGTGGGCGTTTGCTAGTATACACACATGCGTGTGTTCTCATGTTCCCAGCTGTGTCCACTCAGAAGACAGATGGTGACAGCACAACGACAGCGAGCCTGCCAGCCATCCAGAGCTGGATTTCTAAGTCCTACACTAATGCAGTCGGGACTCAGAGGAAGTCCTGACACTTTGCTGGGACCGGGAGAATACCGGATTCTGGAGCATTTATTGTCCTGGAACCTGGAGAAATGATTACAGAATGATTAATACATTTCCAAAGACATATCATGAAGAAGCTTCTTGAAAAATTAGAAAACACTGAATGTCCAAATAAAAAGTGATAGTATGGAATGATAATCCAATGAAGTAGGAAGAAACTGGTTTTTCCACAGGGATATACATAAGCTGGGGAATGATTGCATAAGTGGGAGAAGTGGGAAGACTTTAGAGTAGAATGCCAACTGATGGATGCAGACTTTAGAATGGAATGCCAACTGATGGATGCAGACTTTAGAATGGAATGCCAACTGATGGATGCAGACTTTAGAATGGAATGCCAACTGATGGATGCAGACTTTAGAATGGAATGTTGATCGATGCAGAACTAATAGAAGTAGTAGTCACTACACAGCAGTCACTGGTGAAAGATCTAGATGGGAGTCGCCCAATACGACTTTGATGAGTGTCCCAATTTTGGACAACTCTCAAATATCTACCTCCCAAACTAACAGAATTCTAGAAGAAAATGAACAACTTCAAAGTGAGTGGTACAGCAGGCACCTCCTGGACTGGATGACCAGGACAGGGAGACACAGCCTGTAGCTGAACCGCTGCTGTCACCTTGGCTGAGTGTGGCCCACTTCTGAGGTTTCTGCCCAAAATGCACGACCGACCGAGCTTGACCATACTAAGACCGTGGGTGGATGTGGAGTGACCGTCACCTCCAGGGAAAGGCCTTTGTCATTAAACAGGAAAAGAGAGGCAGAGAGGGATCAAGTTGTTCTCCCAGGTGAGGGAGGGTGGCATGGTTCTGGAATTAGAAGAGATGCTTTGGGGGCAGAGCTTTGTAGGCAGGTTACATGGAGGAGTGTTTGGCTCCTGGGAAGCTCGCTCTAGAAACCTTAGGGATAACAGAATCATGAGACAAAAAAAGCCTCTCTCTCCATTTCTCTTTCTCCAAGTGCATAGACAGGTGGACAGACAGACTTGCTGATCTGTCCTTTTTTTTTTTTTCTTTGTGTCCTACTTTTTCCTCCATCTCCCAACTAAATTTGGGATCTAAGGATGAGAATTTCACACAGTTTTCATCCATTTTTCTGTAGGCATATAATTATTACAAAATCATCTGAAGCACACTGATTTAACATGAACAGATGGAGTTGTTAAAATATTCCTTCAGTGTTATAAAATTGTACTTCAGTTGTCCATGAGTGTCCAGATGCTACAGTTTAGTCTTGTTCACGCCGAGCTGCTGTGGGCAGGAGGGGGTGCAGTGAGGGCTCGGCTCCCCACGCTTTCCCCACAGCCCTGGATCCAAAGCTCACAGTGCATCCGGACCCCTTCAACACTGTCCATGTGTGCGGGATAAGAGCTGAGCAGGGCCCATGGAAGAATGGAACTCATCAGAGACCACTCAGATTGCCCTCTGGGTCACTGGCAAACGCTTCCACTCTGGTCCCTCTGGTCCAGATCCCGATTGGGGGGCCAGGGAGAGCTCGTGTTCTCCTTCCCTCTGCCACTCTTCCTGCGGCCCTGGGTTCCAAGGCAATGATCCCACACGAGAGTGCATTGGAAGTGGTGGCTGGCACTGGACACCTCCTTCCACAGGACCCCACCCCAGTGTTTGCACACCTGCTGTGAGGTGCTTGATTCTCTTCATAAAATATTTTTATTCCATCTCAAGGATGCTAGGCCTAGCTCCAAGCTCAGATTTCACCATGATTCCCCGTCCTAACTGCTTCCTGTGAGCAGAGACTTTGAAGCTGTGCCCAGCGGTCAGGAAAAGCATGGTGCAGCCCGGCCTCCTGGCTTCCTTCTGCATCTGTCTTCTTTACTACCCAGCCAGGGCCTGGGTTCCAGCAGGGCTGACTGGGCTGCCCCGGGACTTCCCCCAGAAAGTCAAAAAACCGTTCTGTGCCATCATCCACCACTGAGTGGGCCTTGGCAGGATCAGGGTCACCAGGCTGCCACTTCTCAGAGCACCAAAACTTGGCTTTATTCACCTTTTCCATAAACCTGAGCTTCCCGTCAGCCCAGGAGCGCTAGGCCTGAGCTTCTGTCTGTGCCTCCCTGCCCTGTGCTCTCCTAGACTGGCATGATGGGACCCTGCAGAGCCTGGGAAGCCAGGTGTCTCCCTAAGGCCTCCTTGGGAACTGCAAGCACCCCATTTGCCCCTCACCTCAGCTTCAAGGTCCAACCGCCCCCAAGTGGAGGTGCTTCCTCCTCCATGTCCTCATTTCCACCAAAATCCAAGTGAAGACTGCCCGCCTCAGCTCAGTGCTGTCCTGCCCACCTTCTTCATGCCAGTGCCAATGTTCAGGGATGTTTGAGTGGTCAGCGCTAGGCAGCACTGGGCAGCCACTCTGACCCGTGTCTCTCCCTCTCCACTGGGGTCACACACCTACCCTGTGATTATGTGTACAGTTTTGGAGCCAGCGACCGGGAGCCTGTACATATGCCCCTCAGGAGCCCTTGAACTCTGGTCATCAGTGCATCTACTGCTTCAGCAAATCAGCAACTACTAGTGTTTTGAAGAATTGGTGTTTGCCCAGCTCTTTCTTAGACCTGGGGGCACCCCGTGGGCAGTGGATTATCTGTCCTCCCTGTGGCGTAGCAGGCGAGGAAGAATGAGGGGGGGGCAGTGGGTCAGTACTCAGTGCTCTTCCGGGAAGGAAGGCAGGGACATGAGGGTATGGGGGCCACAAGGGCTGTGCGATGCCCACCCCCCAAACAACAGTGCAGTGGGGAGCCAGAGTGGGAGCCAGCATCGCTGCATGCCCTGGCCCTGAGGGGACTTCTGCCTCTGGCGCTCTGGGAGACACTGAGAGGCTTGGAGCCAGGTCTGTTGTCCTGGTTCTGACTTTGACTCTGGGGGTAAGACAGGGCAGAGGGGCAGGATTTGAAGTTCCCGCCCTCACTGTGCGCAGCACACTGAAGACCACCCCTCGTCCCCTTGATCCTCCGTGCCCTTGGACTCTGCAAGCTCAGGGGTGACAGAGGCTCCTTAGTCTCCCTCAGCAGGGCTTTGCGGGACTCCAGGGAACTCAGTCAAAGAGGACAACGAGTGGACAAGGGGGTTTCTCATCCTTTCAGGCCCCTCCATGCCCAGGCCCAGCCACTCACCTCCTGCTGAGTCTTTCCCAACCTGGGTTGCTGCCCTTGTGGACACCCAGGCAGTGGACTGAGCCAGGACCAGCAGCAGTGTCCTGGTTGTGATGAATGCAGCCTGCATTTTGCAGTGGACATCAAGGTTGGAACAGATTCCATTGTAGATTTTGCGTTCTATTTTTCAGATTTGCAACAGTTTAAAAAAACAAAACAAAACAAAAAAAAACTCCCAGGCTAATCTGTTAGCCTAGAAGTTGAAAACTTAAGAAAGAAAACTAGGTATTTTAAGCATGCATAAAATATATGTAGATTATGCTTTATCATTTATCACCATGAAATGCAACTATATTATAGGAAGTTAACAATTAAAAAAAAAAAAAAAGTGTGTCTACAACACGAACATGCATGCCAGGCATGAGACGGGTAGAGGACCTGGACTCCTCGCCCCAAACTTTCAGGCCAAGGAGTTGGAGCCTCACAGTAGGAGACTTGTGCAACCCCTTCCCTGAGCTTGAGAAAAACAGTCTCCAAACGGGGTACAAGGTGTCGGGGTGAGGTGGGAGTGACTAGCATTGTTTCCATGGAGACCGTGTCCCTGCTAGGAAAGTAAGGAAGCTCCTGAAGGCTTGAGTGCAAAGGGCACCACGCCCCAGTGTCAGCAAGGGTTCCCATGTCTCCCTGATTCTCTTGGACAGGCGACCCTGGAACGCTGCCGAGGTCAGTGGTATCCACCACGGTGCACAACCAGCTCGAGGAAAATCCATGGATAACATTAAAAATATTTGAAATCTTTATTAACAGGGGCCTCCAGTATATTAGCTTTCTTTGAAAAAAGATTACATTGTCAATTTTGTTACAAGTTAAAAATATTCTTAAACTCTCAACTTGACCAGATATAATATTACTTCTTTTTTGGTTTGTTTTTAAGGCAAGGTCTCCCTGTGCAGTTCAGGGTGGCTGTGAACTCACTATGTAGCCCAGGCTGGCCTGGAACTCATAATAGCCCTTCTGCCTCAGCCTCCTGAGGGTTAGAATTACAGGCATGCACCACCATGTTTGGATAATCAGATAATATAATTTAAAATCCTTGAAGTGTGAATTGAGAAAAGCCAGCCTTCTTGGAAAGCACGCTTGTCATTAGCAGAAAGCACCTGTCTCTAGGTAAAGACGTCAGGCCCCTCTGCGGCAGAGACAGGCAGGGGTCCTCTTGTCTGCTCACCTGGACCACGGCTGGTCTCTAGGTCTCAGCCTGGCCCCACTCAGTTTCCTGCGGGAGCTTCCTGGTAACCCCTCCTCAGAACAACCACAAGCTCAGTCTGGGAATCTTTAAAATTGTTGCAAATCTCCAAAGCAGAGCAGAACAGAGCAAAGCAAACAAAACATCTGCATTTAAAATGAAGCTTCATGGTTCAGCCTTGGATTTTCAGAGGTCAGCTGTACAGAGTTTATAGAGGAAACGCTGTTGCTAAGGGATAGGTTTAGACTGTTTTAGTTTACGTTTCTCTAATAATTGTCTTATTCCGATAAAGTTAGCATTCTTTATGTAAGGCGTTAAAACACTCATGAAGTCATAAAAAAGTACCCTAGAAGCCTGATGTGGAGCTACAGGCCCTAATTCCCGTACTCTGGGAAGTTGAGGCCGGGAGGTGGAAGTTTGAGCCAGGCCACTGACTTAGTGAGACCTTGTCTTAAAAAAAATTTTTTTTGAAAAGAACTAGGGTGGTAGCTCAGTGTGACCCTAATGTCTGAATGAAAAAGTGAATCAGTGAGAGAAATAAAGGTAAAAACTCAATGAATGCTGTGGTCCAGGAATACTATCAAAAACTCATTTTTTCAGCTTTGTGTCTGGTGAAAGATCCCACCAGAACTAAGAATATCGCACAG